TCGCGACATACGCATCATATGGGGGATGACAGATGGGTTGCGGCTGCGGACCGTCTGCCACTGGATCTTGAAACAATGCCTCGATTTTTGCACTTGATTCTCCAAGTTCAGAAGGTTGTTGGAGGGAGAACGAATGAAGTCGGGCTCCGACGAGGTTTTAACATGTACAACGATGATACACAGATTGGCTTTCATGTGGGCCGAGGGGACGTGACTGCCAGTGCGAATTTAAAGCGAGGGGCACCATTTGTCTCGAGTCCAGAGTCTAACTTCTGCGCGGTGAGGGAGTCAGGGACGCACCGAATGAGGTGTCTATCGCGGCATCCCATCGCCCAAAAACCAGATAGTGGGTTGCCGCTTCACCTGCAGGGAGGGCCAGACACGCAAAGGCAGGAGCGGACCGGAGACGATGGGATCGGAACAAGCAGCGATCAACCACACGTGATGCGTGTTGCGTGCACGGACCTCCATCATGATTGATTGACTGCACTTGTTGGCGCCTGTCGTCCAGCTGTCGTCCACCACTGCTTCTTACGCGCTGCGCCGCTGAGCCTGCCACTGCCTGATGCCTCAAATTTCCTCCATGACTGGGCGGTCTTTGGTCTTGCTTTGGACGCCACTCTTGCGCTACTCAGGGAACGGCAAGGGAACGGTGCTTCTCCTTCAAATCTCGATACAAGTTCTCGAAAACGAAAACACCTATGTACGGAGTCTGCGGGCCCTGCGTTTTGCGGCACAGATCAAGATTTTGCGCTACGTTCTATGCGGTTCTGTGATTCAACGCGCAGTCCATGAGACAATTGCTGGCATTGGCACGGATAAATCGGACACGGACAGACACGAATGGCTAAAGTGATTAGGCGCAGCGAGTTCAGTACGACTCTTCAAGGCACCGATTATCCGCGTAGTACGTCTGCCGTGTCTATGCAAGAAGTTTCAGGATGTTTCGCCCTATACGTTCGAGCGTTAAAACAGCTCTGCCATCTGGATACAGGTGTTGTCTTGCGACGACTTCCGCGGCTCTCTACTCTAGCAAGCCGAGCCAAAAAACGACTTGCAAGAACCGTCTCGGTGTTCGGCGCAACTGGCCGGCAAGGCGACTAGTCCTTCTCTTCCTTTGTATTTCGTCCTCACGCAGAAATTCAGGCGCGGCCGTCGCACGTGCGCTCCTCAAGAATGGGATTTTATCACCACGCGCAATTGACGCGCAATCACCCGTAATGCCAATTCCGAACCCGCGCTCAAGTTGAAGTCGTGAAGGGCGATCCTCCGGACCGGGCGTCACTTACCGATGCGCTGCGCGGTGCGCGGCCGCGAGACGGATTTTGCGGTACCTCGTCGGAATACACCATACCCGTGATCTGATAGCACGGAAACGCTTTTGCAGGTTACTTCGATCATAATACCAGTTAAAGCAGACGGTCCGAACAAGTCGGTGCAGGGTATCAACATGGTGGACGCCGCTAAGGAAGCGGGCGTCAAATTTTCCATCTTCGCGTACGCACGCACACTTTCTTTTCCCCCTGACTGTAATAACCTTCGAATAATACTTTCACATTCCTGAAGCTCACTGCCGAGTCTGGCTGAATCATCGGGCGGGAAGTACAAGAATGCGCTGCACTATGAGCGTACGTACCCCGAGTAGGCGTCGATAGTCTATGCCAAATCCCTTCTCACAAAAAAAGCCGAAGTGGAAGGATACCTTCGCGCCTCTGGCCTTCCCCACGCCTGCCTTAACCTGGGCTCCTTCCTCGAGAACTACTGGGCGTCTGTGACCCTTCCCTTCATCGTCCACCCCTTCTTATACTCACTCCATCTCTATATCCAACAGACACGGCGTCCTGCGAAAGACACCCGCTGAGTACGTTGTCATGGTCCCTTACTTCGAGCCCTCGACCACGACGCGACCAAGGCTTCAAGCCCCAGCCCCGGGCTTTCTTGGGCTTGGAATATTTTGGCGTGAATACTTGCCTACATGCACTTGTGAGTCTTCCAACTTTTTTGTGCACGCTCTGCAATGATACTGGTCAACCTCTTCTTTAGAAAGAAGCCGCAAAGCAACTTTCGAGTGGAATGAAAGCGCCGGGCTTCAAAGCCCAAGCCCGGGGCCTGACATTTTTCACCAAGCCTTGGGCCCGCTCAAGCCCTGCGTCGGGCCCGGCTTGGTCGGGCTCAGCTGCAGGGCTTGCGGCCGGGCCTTGAACAAGTCCGGGAACAAGGCCAATAATGGCCCCATTTTGAAGCTCCGGCTGCCAAGTGATGATTTTGTCACCGTCTCGACTCTTTGCCTCTGGCCGGCTACTTACTTGGTGCTCATTGCAACCTACGTTTGGACATCGTTGAGACCATCGTGGTACTTGAACGGCGCTCCAGCCTGAGCTTCGTTGAGTTCATTTGTCAAAACGGATCTTTTCGGTGTCTACCTGTCACGACGGCAACTTCTCCAGTCCTGCGCCAGCCATGGCTACCATTGATGGTAGCGTAACTCGAGTACAGGCCATCCTCAGTCGCCACTGGCAGTCGCAGTCACGGCGACTCAGCTACAGCTTTCCGACGTGCAAAAATCACGTTGTTACCCATTCTGGTCTCGCCGTCTATGTTTAGAGCGTCTGAGGCGCCGGTGCGCAAAAGCTAGTACGCCTTCACAGTACGCCTTCACAGACGGAGGGCGACGGGCTGTACGGATACGCGCTGTGAGTTAGACGCTCATTGCAATCGAATGATCGGGATGAAGCCTGAGGATATATAACCACGCCTTCCAGGAAAACCACTCCTCAGTGCTGGTCGCTAATCCTATACGCGTTGAACGTGAAAACCCATCTCCCTAATCGAGTGCTAACTTCTTTTCCCCCCTCACCGATGAAGCTCTCCCTCATATCCGTCGTCATCTTTTTTACTGCCTTAGGGCAATCGTACGTCTTGCCACGTTCATACGATGGTGGTATTGGGTTGGTGCGTCGCATAGTTAACCCACCTAAGATGATTGCTAAAATCCAGTAGAGCTACCCCTCAGATGCCACCTGTCGACGTTTCAACGCCTCAAAGCCTCGATCTCTCACTGGGAGCAACGCCGAGGCTGCTGCTACGCAATATCATGCAACATGCCGGAACGACGTCCCGGCACTCGAAGCTGTGATAAAGAGTGGCGGCCTAACCATCCTTCCCCTCAGAGTTTGGCCCGACGAATTCTCGTGGTCTGGTGAGTCATGCCCTTCCGACTGTTCACATTGCAACGGGTCACCGATAGGTGGATATTATCTTACACCGGATTTGGCCAGCGCCCAATATTACGCCGCCGTATTCCTCAACCACAGATGCAAGACAAAGGGAGGGGGCGCTGTTCTCGGTGGGTCAAACCCTTGTCCCTTTTCAGTGTATGGTCCAATCGACTCTTTGGTTGCAGAACTGAAACTCGACTCCACTGACTTGCGGTACGTGATAGCGACACATTTGTTGTGTTTTCGCGTCGACGCTTCTACCAGAATCAGGGATGGTGGTCAAGGAAAACAGGGCATCACCGTCTGTATTATTTCTCCTTGAAACGGCACGTCAACTGACTGCTATTTGGGCTGTCACTCGACATAGTACCGATCACTGCTATCAAGCTCTCAAAAGGGAGCTCAGGCTTCTGGGGCTCATGCCACCGGCTCCGCCACACGACCCAGAAGACGGCCCACCACGGGAGCCATTGCCGCCGCAGGCAGACATAACCCAAGTCAGAAACAGTGGCAAGCAAATCGCGACAAAACGAAGTGACGAGGTGCTATTCTGGAAAGCTTACGATGACCTGCAAACAGTCGATATAGTGGTTGGGTCCGCCAGTCTTGGTCCATCACAAGTGGCAGTTCAGTCGTTGGCAAACGAGAATGGGTTGGGTGAACTGCCTGCTCCATTCAATCAGGTCGTACTGATCAGCAACACCGGTAAGGCATGCACATTATCCTGAATTCATGACCTTATGGTGCTACAATAGCTACCTCGAAGGTGTCGTGGGTCGGGCAAACAGATATTCCGGCAGCATTGGCCGCAAAACTGCCCGCCTTCACCGCGGCTCAGGAGAAGTTGGCGGCGGAAACCAAGGCAGATGCAGACAAGGCGGCCAGCGCTAAGGCGTCCACCCCAGATGGTGGTTCCGAGCAGCAAGGTGCATAAGGGTCTCCGTGTACTGACCGATTGAGGCTCATGAGTGTATTACAATCTGGGTTATAACCATCGTAAACGATAACTACCATATTCGAGATTACCGCTCCGTAGAGCATCACAGTCCGTCGCACCACATAGTGACTTCGACATCACGCGAAGTTTACAGTGCTCCACCCCTTCTGCGAAGCCCGCTGCGGCGCGAGCAACAACGGCAGCATACAATATCGGCAATGACATCGAATATCGTCACGATGACCTGTGTGCATATTTAACGAAGAGTTGAGTGCAACAGCCCAGGATAAAAACTGTCCACGCACGTTCGTGATAGCTCCAACGATAGTCTCTATGACGCCAGCAATGGCGGACACGATTGAATTGATCGCGCGGCCGATTGCGCTGACTACTGATCCCTACGGTCAATAGCGTCAAGACATGTTTACGGTCCGGTGAGTGAATGCCTAACCATGCTTAATGTTGGGTAGGGTTTGTTGGCGGTAAGGGGAAAACGAGGAAGAGACAGGGACAGGCAGACCGCGACGGGTGCGGAAATGTTGTAGGTATGGTTATTAGCTCGTCCGCGGCGGAGCTCGCTATCCGGACCATTTCGCGCTTGCAATTTCCGAGGCGCAAATCTTCCGGAGCTAGGGTGAAAAAGCAATGCCAGGAGCCAAGGTCCGTCAAGGGAGAAACGGAACCGGAATTGCCAGGACAGTTGCAGGACAGCATTCCTAAATCCCAAGGTAGCCGATCGGCAATGCAGGGGGCCCGCTTCGGCGGCGGAGCGGCTTCAACAATGCTTCCTTTGCATGGCAGGAGAAACAAGGAGAGAGGATGGAACGCTTCACCAAAAAGAGGCATGACCCCTGCCCGGATTGAACGGACGGCCTTCGCGACACGCGTGATGACTGGAATGCGACGCTCTACCGCTGAGCTAAGGGGTCATTTGCGTGTGCGCTTTTCCTGCGCTTATGTACCTCGCCCCACCGTCGGCGGCGGTTACTTGTGATTTCTCGGACCGTGGACGATCCCCGAGCTCGTGCATCTGCAGCATCATGTCTGCTGGTGACTGCGATCCCGCCTCTGTGTCAAGCGTTGTCGCCATCGTTCCTGTCCGCGATCCGACATTCCCGCTCTGTGCGACATATCAGTACTCACCATAGCAACATCAGAGTCCGTCTGGAAACCAGATACGTGTCACAGACTCCGACTCACATCTGTCCTGCACCCACTTTGCACCCACTCCAAACCCACTCCCCATGTAATGGCACTTGAAATTGAATCTAGGTTTCCGGAGGATATTGAACGTCTCGTAACTGAGATGCTCTTGGACGACGGAGTCCAGATGTGCGGCGCGATGTCCCTCGTGGCCTCACGCTTTCGTGCCTGGTCCGTGCCATCACACTTTCTCCCTCCCATTGTGAGCTGACCATCGATCTGTAATATGTAGGACAAAGCCCAGAATACTTCGTACGGTCGTCGTCACCCTCCGCGACAACTGGACGAAAAGAATCAGCGAGCTCTTTTTGCCCAATGCGAAACATATCCGAATCCTTGCCATTGATCTACCCTCAACTCGTGGTCATCTCTCAAACGAAGAGTCAACACTGGTTCGCCGTCTTCTCCAGGCGTCACACTGTGTCCAGCAGCTCGCCGTAAGCTGGCACCTCTGGGTGGACTTTTCTTCCGAATGCGGTCGCCTTGAAATTGAAAGCCTTTATCTCATCTGGGACGGGGCGTACGGGATTCCCCCGTTAACATTGGAAAACTTGCAGCATCCTCTCGTACTCAAAGATATCACCATGTACGCTCCCCCAGATCTCAGAGGTCCTGGGTCGGCGTTGTGGTTCTTTCTCCCCGAAACAATCACCGAGGATTGTCCCAACCTGGCCTTTCTGACATATGCGGTCAGCGAGCAGCCTATCGACATCGATTGCTTTGGTTCGAACCTCGAGGGGGTAATGTGGGTGCTTGTCGATACCCCGACCAAGAGACTTGACCCGGTGAACATGGACATGCTATGGATGGGCAAATATGATTGCCCCAATTACTCCTCGAGACACCTCAGGTTCTCCAGCGAAATGCTCGGAGAGTGGTTGGCAAAAATGGAGGGACGGAGGAGCGTATTGGAGCATCCACCTCCTCGCGCTGCTGATGAAATCTATTCTACGACCAAATGCGATATCATGGACTGGTAGGTACATCTGTACTGCACGCATCGTATAGTGGGTAGCACGACGCGTCGAGGTTAATACAATTACTGTTTTGACCCACCCAGGCACGGAAAGCGTTGGGATTGAGGATCGATTAACCACTCCCGATGGTATGATTTCGTGCTCAACATTTATTCGTCGCAAATATGATTGTTTCAACTTAGTGTATGTAGTGAACCAAGAGGAAAAGAACCAGACAACCCGACGAACAATGCCATGCCAAATTCGTGGTTGCAGCCTCCTCCTATAACCAAACCGAGGCTTCACCTCCCTTTCAAGGAACCCCTGTATCGTCCCGAACTTCACACCCAACACGACGAGCTTGGGGTCCGGGACGAGCGCGTCGGCGTACATGCTGTGCTCCGCGTGCCCTCGGAACTGCGTTCGTTCATAACGGCGTTAGCTTGGGGCAAACAAGCTTAATATGCATAGAGGGAACGCACCATTTCATCCACGGCGCGGTTGCCTGTGGACGGACCGTTGGCAAAGCCGACCTTGACGCCGAGCACTGCGCGTCGTTAACTTTAAAGAAAGGAACCCCTGAAGGAAGATTAACAGTAGAACCGCACCTTCCTCAGTCCTCTCTGCCAACTTCCCATACGTCGCAGCGGTATACACCTTTCCCAATATATCACATACCCGTAACCCGGGGCCGTCGACGCATCCGTGCTGTTTCGAGCAGCGCGAGCGGGACGTGCTCGAGCGCTTGAAGAATGGACTGTGACGTCGAAGTCGGTGGGGGTCTTTTGCAGGACGCGCATTCTGTGCAGCGCAAGGGGGTGGATAATACATATCAGATATACAGATATAATGTCCGAGGAGGAAAGGAACGTGGAGGGATTTGGAAGGAAGATGAGGTGGAGGAAGGGAAGGGATTGAAGGGAGGAACGGAAGGGGGAAGGGAGAAGGGCCACAAACGTCCGATAGTCTTCAGGGAAGGCGCCGGGGTGGGGAAGAAGCCACAGTGGGGGAGGCCGGAGGCGCGGGGGTAGGCTTCTAGTGGCATAGATTGTGATATGTGGGGTTACGAGGGATTTTAGAAGAGAACTCGGCAGCGAGCTGGGAATACATTCACATGGACCCAGGACGCGGGGCGCGGATAATCGGCACCTGATATGACGGAATCCACCTTGCCGGTGGGGGGTCTACATGCCTGAATCGACGGCACATTGACTTGGAGAGCAGATCTGGGTGCCTTAAGCTTGGGCATGCAGTGGGTAAGTACGGACGAGCGAGCCAAGACAGCGATCGGACTTCAACCCGCTAAGGCCGCACAAACATGCGTTCTGCTGCGTCCTCGCGTAGAGGTTTGCTCGAGGCTTCTTCCAGGTCGTTGTGGCGGCTCGAAAAGCGTGGTTGTTGCTGCTTGGCGTTTGATCAGGACTCCACGTGATGCAGACGCGACGCGTTTCGTCGAGAAAGCCAAACAGATACATACAGGTCTATGGCCGCCTAGGAAACGTTAGACAGTGCAGATAGTAATGCATTTGGCTTGCAACTGCGCCTCGAAATGACATTTGCAGCGCCTGGGCAGTGGGTAGCGCCGGGCCAGCTGCAAAGTGGGTTCGAATGAAAGTTCGAACTTGAAGAATTCAACTACGCTCCGAAACTTGTCCGAAACTAATGACATACGTATCGTCGGACCAGCTGCATGGTAGGTTCGAAACAAGTTCGAACTGCGAAAATTCTGGATTTGTTGAGGGCATGAATAGGAAATTACAAGATCTCCAGCGCAGGAACCGGGACGGGTACCACTGGGACGTGAACTCAGCGGCATTGATTACATATTAGGACACCTGTTTTATATCTCGCACAATCAAACGTCCAGGAATTTGATATCTCCTGTGGGCATTGGATGAGTGTGGCGTCGACGGGGAAGTAGAATTGGTACCTGAAGAAATATCTGGAATATGCCCGCTGCAGTGAGTATCGAGACGAAGGGAAGAGAGGACCCACATCCGGCTGTGCCGCCCGAGGTCGTCCGGCATTCGTATACTTCTTGACCTGGCACCTGATTTCGTGGCGTCGGAAATCCATCTGTGAGGCCCTCAGAGCCGACTGGAAATGGGTAAGCATTATTGAGCTGCCAAACGAAATGGGTGGTGAGTGTCCTGAAATCATTATGCCGATGCTGCCACGTACTCTGAACATCGTTGTCATTCGCTTGAAAGGTCTGTTAAAAAGACCGCGGCGTCGCTCAGGCTGTACCAGTACCATCGGGCGCTCCTTGGAGGACCCAGCAGTCCCGGTTTCGATCGCACCGTAGAATCTCTCGTCTACAAGGGGCCCCGCCGCGGCAACGTCCAGATAGAGTGCGGCGTATCGGTATATCGGCCTGCCTTCTACACTGGCAATGCACCGTTTGATTGCTCCCGGCTCGACGGGTGGAGAGATTCTGAGGCGCTCGACACGCCCGATGGAGGGTTCGTTCAGGTCGAAACAAACTTTGGAGCTGTCCTCCCCAATTTGAGTATACAACTGATAATACACTGTGATACGGAGCTCATCAGGGGTAGTGGGACGTCCGGATGTAGTAAGACGCACAGTAACTGGAGCCCACTTCAATCTGCGTAACTTCGATGCCAGCTACCTCTGCCGTAGTCAGGTCATCAATCAGTACAAGAACGAAGGGTGTCTCGGGGTTATTGCCCGGATTATTGGTGTCACCAGCGATATTGACTCTGGCAGCCTCCGCCATACGGTCCTTTGCCGCCACGTTCTGATACAAGTTGGTACGACGCCCTTCAGGATCGGATATAGCCTCTGCATGAGTTAGACATCGCTTCACTGCTGCTACACTGCGCGGCGGTGGGACCGATCTCGCTGCTATGCGCCCTACGAATGGGTCCGACGGATTGAATGCCGATTTTGACGGAATCGCGCCATCTTTGGTGTATACACGGTAGTACACTAGATGAGTCTCAGGGCTACCCATATCGCACGAAAATTGCCGAAACACCGACCATAGGGCCCAGCTGGGCTGGTGGTTGAATCCTTGTCTTTGGGGCTGCCGTCCACAGTGTGCGAGTCGTAATCCGGCGGGGGGTTGGAGAGGTCCATATCGATGGTCATGGTGGGCGCAGACAAAGACACGTTGCCTCGTTTACCTAAGGCTTCTCTGATCCTTGCCAGAAATCAGTCGCCGAAGTTTGCCGTTGATGCAAAGTTGACGGAGCGGATAATCGGCGCTCGGATTTTTGGCTGAAGACCTCGGGGCTTGAGCCAGAGTTGTACTGAGAAACGCTTTGGAGTGAATCCCTCCTTTCTTGGCTGAAGACCTCGGGGCTTGAGCCAGAGTTGCATTGAGAAACGCTTTGGAGCGAATCCCTCCTTTCCGAGATCATGAGCGAGTCGCTGGAGACGAATGAGTTCTGCAGGATACTCCGCCACTTCACGCTTCAATTTAAACGGCGAAGGAGGTCCTGCTATCGTCTTTCACTCAGTTCACTCCAATATGTGGGCAGCATCAAGAATATTCGCACCGCTCAGAGCTTCCCCCGAGCCGAGGAATTGGCTTGCTGAGGCCACCAAGCGAACCCTATCTTCGCTGCCTTCCCCGAGAAACTTTTTCCTACTCGCGGAAAGTTCAACTTCTCCGTCGTCCGAGCCCTAAGGCTAATACTGCCCTACTTATATTTGAAGCCGGTCCGATCGGTGTCCTTACTCGTCAAACCGACGGGCATTGACAAAAACAGATGTCGAAATATCCCCGAAAATCCGAACGGCGAAGC